CTGGTTGATGAAGGTAGGGCTGCTCCAAAGCAGAGAGAACTTTCCATCAGACATATGCCCAGGAAGAAAACTGTTGTGTAAATCAGAGCCACAAGCCAAAAGCTGTGTGGGGAGTGGGTGATGAAGACTGCGTGTGCCTTCTTCGCAGCGGCCCCTCGGAGTCACAGCCACGTTTCACAGGCGGCCATGGCCCAGCTCAGTTTGTTCCCTCTGTGACCCCTGTTGATGCACTCCCCTCCCCCAGCGTTCTGGTGTCATTTGGCACTTGGAGCACTTGTTATTTTTAGTTACTTTCCTGAATCCGTGCTGTCCTCTTTGCCGGCTCACGACTTGGCAGTTGCTCGTCGGATGCTGCCTTTATAGGACTTGGAGCTCACGTTTGCCTGGATGCCCGAGTAACTTGTCGCTTTCTAACAGCAGTGAGGAGCGGTTGTAGGTCAGTGATGGCCTACCTTGGCCGCAGCCCTCACCTCCCACCACATCCCAAGCCATTCCTCCCACACTCGCCATAACCACGTGCACACAGGGAACTTCCCTGCCCCTCTCCAACATGGGAGGATTGTAACTCCCTGTGTTTGTCCCACACCCTCCCCATGCCAACAGTTGCCTCTTCACCTTCTTCACCTTGGTTTCTTTCTTTCTTTTTCTTTTTCTTTTTCTTTTTCTTTTTCTTTTTCTTTTTCTTTTCCTTTTTTTGATTTTATTTATTTGAGAGGTAGAGTTACAATGAGAGGGAGAGTCAGAGAGAAAGGTCTTGCATCCACTGGTTCACTCCCTAAATGGCCACAATGGCTGGAGCTGCACGGACCTGAAGCCAAGAGCCAGGAGCTTCTTCTGGGTCTCCCATGTGGGTGCAGGGGCCCAAGTCCTGGGCTATCTCCTACTGCTTTCTCAGGCCTTAGTAGAGGGCTGGATGGGAAGAGGAGCAGGCGTGACTTGAATTGGCACCCATAGGGGATGCCGGCACCACAGGCAGAGGATTACCCTGGGCCATAGTGCCGGCCTCCACCTTGGTGTTTTCTTTCCCAGGTCTTTCCTTTGCCTTGCCAGCTCCTTATCTTTCTGTGTCCATCCAAGATGTCACTCCAGGAATTTTCACTTACCACTCCTGCCTCCCTACCTCATCTGTGTGCTCCCAGCTGCAACACTGATTTGTAATGTTTTCATCTATTTTTCTTATTATTCTAATCCTTGTCACCACCACCATATCTTTTTCATTTTGTATCCCTGCTGCCAAGCACAGTCCCTGCCATACAGAATTTATGGGATCAAAATGATCTTGAGTCAGTTTGCAAGCTAACAAATAAAAATGTTGTGAGAATTTCTAACTTACTCTAAGGTATGTAAATATAGAAAATAATGGGGTGAAAAAAAAAAGTTAAGATTCTTTCTGACAAGGTTTCCATTATCTATGGAAAAAAGAAAGGGACTTGATCTTCCTCTAAACTGTTTTTCTTGAAAAATAGAACATGCTTTATATTTTTCTCACCTTCAACATTTAATGTATTCCACACACAGTAGGTTTGCAGTATCCTTTTGATTGATGGAAATAATTGTTTTCCTTCACAAGAGGAAATCCAAGTGTCTGTTAGATTTTAATCACAGGTTTGTGGCTGGCGCCGTGGCTCACTAGGCTAATCTTCTGCCTGCGGCGCCATCACCCCAGGTTCTAGTCCCGGTTGGGGTGCCGGATTCTGTCCTGGTTGCTCCTTTTCCAGTCCAGCTCTCTGCTGTGGCCCGGAAGTGCAGTGGAGGATGGCTCAAGTGCTTAGGCCCTGCACCTGCATGGGAGATCAGGAAGAAGCTCCTGGCTTCGGATTGGCGCAGCACCAGCCCTAGCGGCCATTAGGGGGTGAACCAACAGAAGGAAGACCTTTCTCTCTGTCTCTCTCTCTCTCACTGTCTATAACTCTGCCTGTAAAAAAAAAAAAAAAAAAAAAAGACTATATGTCCTTTAAAAAAAAAAATCACAGGTTTATTTTATGCTGGAGAAGCCTGACCAGTGGTCCACCATCAACCATCAGTCAATGTGAAAGAAAGAGATGTAATTATCTATTAGATGGTCTTACTTTTTAAACTTGACTCTTCTTATTAAAACATGGGGGCATTTAATAAGAATAAAGTAAGACTGAGGGAATACCAGGGAAAACTTACGAAGTTCATTGTTGGGCATCACCGAATTGAGCCCTGCTTTATTCTTCACATTCACATGAACCTTCCAGTGCTCACAGAGAAATTTCCCTAATTACCTGGTTATTATGTTAGATTTTGGAGAGTTAAGCCAGGCTATTAAATGTATTCTCTTTCAGTAAAATGGAGAGATTGTGAAGGTGTGCCTCTTACTGTTTCTTTTAAATTCATAAGGCTGGGGCCAACATTGTGGTGTAGCAGGTAAAGCTTCTGCCTGCAATGCCTGTCCATATGGGCACCAGTTTGAATCCCAGCACCGGTTCAAGTCCCAGCTGCTCCAGTTCCAATCCAGCTCCTTGCTAATGCACATGGCCCAAGTGCTTGGGCCCTTGCCACCCACATGGGGGACCTAGAAGAAGCTCCTCCTGGCTCCTGGCTTTGGCCTGGCCCTGTCCAGCTGTTGTGACCATTTAGGGAATGAACTAGTGGATGGACGATCTCTGTCTTTCCCTCTCTTGTTCTAATTCTGCCTTTCAAATAAATAAAGTAAATCTTAAAAAAATTAAACAAATAAATGCATAAGGCCCTGGAAAAGGTCTAAGTTGCCTTTCTGGGCCCATGCCTGATTGTATTTTAGATGTCTCTCAGTACTAAAAAGAATTAAGATATTTTTGCTCTACTGCATCCTAGGATCCTTAAAAGTAGGTCAGATCACTAAGATGAGATGTTCTAAGTCTTCTTCTGGAAGTAGCAGCTTATGCTCAATTTGAGCCACTTATGATCTGCTAGAAAAAGTTTAATCCATTGACTGATACACATTACACATGCAGTCTTTCACTGTGGATAAGTTATTTTAGAATTAAGAAAGTGTATCAACTAGAATTTTTAAAAATATAATTTAGACTACTTTCCATTTATAAGATGAACTCTTATTTAGTTGAATTTATGAGTTTTTTAAAAACCTGTAGTATTTCTTGAACAGATGCTCTTTATCATAGCTAATCTTTTGCATAAATTGCTTGTATTTATATGGGATTTGTGAGTGGATTCTCACTGTTAGATGATAAATGAACAGGAGTTTGAAGCTTTTCAGATTGCTTGCAGGAACTAGAAAGCTTATTAAAACTTCCCTCACAGAGACCTTCTGCTTCCCCCCACAAGCTCTTATCTCTGAGGGCAAATCTCAAAAGGTTCATGAAAAAAATGGAATTAGGAAAATCAATTTATTTTGTTGCAGAAATTTTGGAAAGCATGCATAGTTTTTATGCATTTTTCCACAAACTTCTTGAAGACCTTTCATACTTGGCAATAGAAGAGAGTTACACAGAGGAAGAAAAGAAGGCCATCAACCAAATCACCCACTGACCCCACTGTTAGGCCTTTGATGAAGGGAAGGAAATAACGAATTTTCATTTCTATAAATCATAATGGGGTTTAGCCTGTAGGCCATCTGAGTCCCATGAAATCATTTGATGTGGCCCTGCCAAAGCAACCACAGATGGGACTCTACTCAAAAAAATCTATGGCAGGTTAATTTTTTAAGTTGCAGTTTTGTGGATCTGAGAAGGATGTTATAAATATCAACATGGTCCTTGGCAGAAAAAATTTCTCCACTCCTTCTGTAAAGGAAAGAATCCATTTTCTGATTTCAAAAGATAAACCTTTACATTTCTGTATTCGTGGAATTACTGTTCTTTGTGAAAAGTAAGGACACAATGTTACAGTGGGAAAGAACAGTTTCTAAACGACTGGAAATCACTGAGAAACTGAAGCTGAAAAGTAGCCACGTCCATATCTGTTTTGGTGTAAGGGAGAGTTTATCCACCTTGCCTCGTCCTCTGCCTTCCCAGAAGGCTTATCTCTCTACATTTTATTTTGTGCCTTCAATATGAGACTAGGTAAGAGTGGCCTAAAACATATATCCGTGTCTGTAGTTGATGGGAACTCAGTACATGTAGAATGAATGAGTGGGGAAATGAGTATTTCATATGACATTATTTGCATCCCTTCCAGTATCCCTTCCAGTGAGAAGGATTATTTTGTAATTTTTTTACAAAATAATTTCATAACAAAAAGGGATATTTTGATTTTTTTTAAAAAAGATTTACTTATTTATTCAAAATTAATATATATATCTGAATTTTGAATAAATAAGTAAATATATATGTATATATGAGAGAGAGAGAAAGATATCTTCCATCTGCTGCTTTACTCCTCAGATGGGCACAGCTGCCCAGGCTGGGCCAGGCCAAGCTTCTTTGGGTCTCCCATGTAGATGGCTGGGGCACAAATACTTTGGCCATCTTCTGTTGCTTTCCCAGGCTATTAGCAGTGACGCAAACATTCATATGGGATGCCAGCATCACAGGTGGTGGCTTTACTCACTGTGCCACAGCACCAGTCGCTGATCATAGTTTTGATTTGCTTATTTGCCTGTTTGTGAAAAATTGTTATTTCTATTCCTGGTTTGAAATCATTAGATCTTTGTACTTTCTTTGAGGTGTCTTATCCCTTTCTGATCACCAAAGGAATTTTGTCCTAGACCTGCTATGCTTTATTGGGCACAATAGAGCTGTGCATATCTACTATTGCAGCATTTTTTTTTCAATAACTGTGATTATAAGAGAAGTGGTCATATAGTTTCCTCTAACAGTTACCATTCCTGTAATTCCCTGCAAGGTATATACTTATTGCCTTGTTCTCTATTTACTTTAGGTTCTACCTGTAGGATCCAGAGCTGCCTTGGAGCATGAGGAAAGCGATCAGTTAGGTCTTTCCCCTGTCCCATTACAGTCTGTGACAGCCCTCCTAGATCCCCGGGGCAACCTCTACTCCCTTGCTGACCTAACGCCGTGCTTGTCCCATTGCAGGTATAGTGGAGGATTATAAGCCACCATTCTATGATGTGGTTCCCAATGACCCAAGTTTTGAAGATATGAGGAAAGTAGTCTGTGTTGATCAACAGAGGCCAAACATACCCAACAGATGGTTCTCAGACCCGGTAAGAGTTTCTGTATTTTGGAGCTGTCCTCATCTGCTGTTTGCTCGCTCTTGAGTTTGAGCTGGTGAAGTATCTGCATCATCTGCCCTGTGTGTCTGTTGCCCTTCCTCCCTATTTTATGAATTAGGCTCCTAAACCTTGCTGAATAGATTCGGAAAAGGAATTGTGCCTGATAGATCTTGCTAACTAACGACCCTATTTATGAGAATTTCAGTGATTTACTAGCTCTCCAGGAATTAGGACATTCATTCCTACTACTGCTAGCCCTAGGGCTGTAGTTTCAAGGGTAAACCAAGAAACCCTTGAGTGCTGGTTTGAATCTCCTGTCCATCTACATACCTGAAATTCCAAACATAAGCTACTCAGTGCTGAAGATCCTGTAGTCATAAATACAAAGGTACTTCAAAAAATTCGTGGAAAATTGGAATTAAATGGTAAGTTTATTTTGGTATAAAAAGTTTTGAAATCCCTGCATTCTTACAGTAGCAGATCTCAAACACTGAGAACTAATACATTTGTAAATTGTAGTATTATCTCTGGTTTTGTATTACTGCTGTTAATGCCCATAACAGTATCAAGGGGTGCATCATGGCCTGTGTAATTTACCTGATAAAGTAAGCTGGTAGTCCAAAGGACAGAGTCCATGAAACTTAAGAGCAGCTTCTTTATCAGCAGTTAAGACCTTGAGTATTTGCTTAAAGAAGATGGAAAAATAATGGCACCTTAACTTCACAAGACCTGCCAAGTTCTTCAGAACAGCTGACGTGGCTCCTGCCCAGCTTCCAGGGTCATTGAAAAGCCAGTTTGTCATTGTAGTGTGTGTCCTTTCTCTCCACAGACACTAACCTCTCTGGCCAAGCTGATGAAAGAATGCTGGTATCAGAATCCATCTGCAAGACTCACAGCTCTGCGTATCAAAAAGACTTTGACCAAAATTGATAATTCCCTAGACAAATTGAAAACTGACTGTTGACATTTTCGTGGTGTCAAGAAGGAAGATGTGACATTGTTGTTGTCCAGCTGGGACCTCATACGGCCTGACTGGCTGTCAGAACAGAATCCCTGTCTCCCTCCCCAAGTGGCTGCTCTGACAAGGCAGATATCTTACCCAGCTGTGTGCTGGGGAGACACCAAAACCACCCTAACCTCGCTCAACGACTGTGAACTGGGCATTTCACGAACTGTTCACACCACAGAGACTAATGGTGGGCAGACACTGCTGCAAAGGTAGGGAACTGGAGGAACACAGAGAAATCCTAAAAGAGATCTGGGCATTAAGACAGTGGCTTTTGCATATCTTTCACAGGTCTCCTAGACACTCCCCACGGGAAACTCAAGGAGGTGGTGAATTTTAATCAGCAATATTGCCTGTGCTTCTCTTCTTTATTGCACTAGGAATTCTTTGCATTCCTTACTTGCACTGTTACTCTTAATTTTAAAGACCCAACCTGCCAAAACATTGGCTTTGTACTCCACTGGGCTGTCTTTGGATAATAGGAATTCAATTTGGCAAAACAAAATGTAATGTCAGACTTTGCTGCATTTTACACATGTGCTGATGTTTACAATGATGCCGAACATTAGGAATTGTTTATATACAACTTTGCAAATTATTTATTACTTGTGCACTAAGCAGTTTTTACAAAACTGCTGTGTGCAAATGTTAAAGCTTATTTTTATGTGGTCTTATGATTTTATTACCGAAATGTTTTTAACACTATACTCTGAAATGGACATTTTCTTTTATTATCAGTTAAATTCACATTTTAAGTGCTTCACATTTGTATGTGTGTAGACTGTAACTTTTTTTTCAGTTCATATGCAGAACGTATTTAGTCCAGTACCCATGTGACACCACCGAATATATTACTGATTTAGAAGCAAAGATTTCAGTAGAATTTTAGTCCTGAACGCTGTGGGGAAAATGCATTTTCTTCGGAATTATCCATTATGTGCATTTAAACTCTGCCAGAAAAAAATAACTATTTTGTTTTAATCTACTTTTTGTATTTAGTAGTTATTTGTATAAATTAAATAAACTGTTTTCAAGTCAAACAGTGAAATTGTTTTTTAGTGTATGAAAAAGATCTGCATAACATAAAGCATTTTGCAATAGAAACACAAAATTTGTAAACTGATTTTGCTTTTCAGTTCTGATGATGACCTTGAGGGTACAATAATGATGTACTACAGCTTGAATTTGGTATCAGAAAATTTGATTTCTATCTGTTTCTTCTCTTGGCTGTGGTTATCTTTTTCCCTTTAGTTTCCCCAGCTATAAATCAGTTCTGTTACAGAACTCTCTGACCTGCCTTTCTCCCAAGGAGACTGCGAATACAAGTGGGAGGAAGGGTAGCAAAGCATTCGGTTTAGTAGTAAGTCCGATGTGAGCGTAAAGCGGTCTTAGTCCTTAGTCCCACCTTGCTGCTTGGGAGAGTCCGATCTTGGTGTTTCTCACTTCTTGTATGCAGCAGGAGTCGAAACAGTAGGGTTTAGAGCAGTCCAATAAGAGAAGAGGGGAGAAAATCCTCGAGCGTCCTGCAGAGGTAAGTTAGTAACCTCATTAGCATGCCTTCACTCGGAAAGGATATATTCTAGTCACATTTAGTGTCTTTGAAAATTAAAAAATAGATTTTTGATTCATGTTATACATAACATTTACTATCTAAACAGTTTTTAACTTTACAATTCAGTGGTATTAAGTTTGTTCCTGTTATTGTTCTACTGTCTCTGTCATCCATCCACAGGACTTTTTCCATTTTGTAAAACTGACTCTGTTTCTATTGAGCAATGACTCCTCATTCCCCCGCTCCTTACAGTCCTGGCAGCCATCATTCCGCTGTCTGTCTCCGTGAGTTTGACTCTAAGGACCGCAGATACTCTAAGTGGCATCAAACAGTGTTTTTTCTTTAATGAGAGTGGCTTATTTCATTTTGCATGATGCCTTCAGTGTTCATCCATGTAGCATAGTACCTAAATTTCCTTCCTTTCTTAGGCTGAACAATATCCCAGGTATATATATGCAGCATTTTGTTTGTCCATTTATTTACCCATTGATGAATACTTGAATGGCTCCTAACTTTCTTCTGTTGTAAATATTACTGCCACAGACGTGAGTTATAGATATCTCTTGGGTTCTTAGGGGTATAATCAGAAGTGGAATCGAGTTACTTTTGATTTTTATTGAACTATCACATGCTTAGGTAAAAGTACATCCATATAAAAATATAGAGCTTAATGAGTTTTTGTAAATTTTGATAACTTGGTTACACCCATGAGAACAACATGTATTCTGAAGTCCTCTTCTTGCCACCCCCTCTGCTACCTCACCAACCCCAAGAGCAGCTACTTTCCTGACTACCACTGTACCAGCTTATTACTAAACACTTTCTCATGGAATCATGCAAAATGTATGCATGCAGGAATGGCTTCACTAGGTGATAGAGTATGATACACTTCAGCTTTAGTAGATACTACCAAATTATTTTCCTAAAAGGGTTGCTCAGTGTGTGTCCCCATCAGGTGGACATGAAAGTCCCAGTTGTTTGACATCTTTAACAGTGCTTGGTATTTTCTGCTTTTGCATTTTGGTCATGATGGTTGGTGTTGTGCACCTATTTCAGCAAGACAAAGAAACATGCCATTCACTCCAAGGATTATAGAACTCAAGGAAAAGAAGTTCTCAGATGTAATCCATGTATCCAGATCTGAGTATGAATCTAGTGTTTTGTGATATGTGATACTTTTTATACAGCTTGACCACTGAAAACATTGATCATGACTTTATCTGTTTCTTATCCATCGATAGTGGTTGTTCCAAATGTAGAGAATAATCTGGTGTGTAGATTATTAACTTCATGTGTGGGTCTCAAAACATTACATTTCTGAGCAATTCTGACCACATCTTGATCTCCTCTTTTCATTGGCTTTGAAACCTAACCTCCCTTGAGATTTCTCTGTTGAGGGGATCTAGGAGATGGGTGAGATGAGAAGACAGAATGTTATACTCTCTCTAGAAAAACAGGTTTACATGTACTTTAACTATCTTTGTCTCCAGAGAGGAAATCGAGGTCCAGGGAAGTCTGCTGATGTGCCAGGAGTAGATCTTTGATTCCAGGCCAGAGTCCTCTCTCATAGGACATACATGAGTCCTCAATGGCTACCTCTTCTACTCCTGTTTGCATGGGTTATTTTCTGAGTTGCACAGCCGTTCCTGAAAGGCTGTGAGGTCATATCTGGTTTGTTCATTTCTCTCAAACTGTGATGGAAACGGCTTTTTTTGTTTCTGGAAGAAAACATGTGTTTGCTGATGATTTCTCATGGGCATTGCACTGGATGTGCCGCTATTGGCTGTCAGCCCAAGTCCCACCCTTTCATACACTACTTGGCCATGCTTGGGCTGTGATTCCACCAGCATGGCTCTGCCATAGGGGACCTTAGCAGGAGCCTGAGAGGCAGAGAGAGAAAGAAAAGACTTGTTCCTCCCAACCTGTTTCCTCTTCTCTTAGCATCCCTGCAGCCTTCCTTCTTAACCCTGGCAGGGCTGTTCCTGCGGTCAAATCAGCTGCTTCTCAGTTCAATTTGCGGTTGTGCTAATCTTTGCAGAGGAAGCATGATTGTACCCTCACGTTGGAGATACTGCCACCAGCCGCCCAGGGTTCACTCCTCAGAGGGCAGGGTCCTGGCTGCGTGGAGTTCTGTCTGCGAGCTCAGAAACAGCCACATTAGCCCGTTGGTGCCCCCTCTGTGGTTGCTCCCCTCCAAGAAACTCCACTCTCTCCCCTCAGCTCCTCCAGCCTTATGGGAATAGCTGCTTCCTCCAGTAGCTTCCTGAATAGGTTAATTAGTTAACCTAATTAATTTTTATACCCGATTAACGATCCTCCCTGCTAAACAATGATGACCAGCTGGTGTGGTCTCTGTCTCCTGACTGGATATTGACCAATACAAGTATTGTCCTGTTACTTCTTCCCTGACGCTCCTCTCCTTTTTGTCCTCTGTGGTGTTATGTATTTTTATGGTCTAAGTTTCACCTACTAGATGGTTATTAATCACAGTTATAACACTAATCATTAATGCTTCCTGAGTATCCACTACATGTTGGGTTCTTGGCTCACTGATAAACAGGGGCTCCTCACGGAAGCTCTGGCAGGTAAGTACTACAGGTACTTTTATTTGACAGTTGGGGAATCCAAGGCTTGTGTAGGTTGTGATGGTTCATCCTACAACAGAAAGCAATAGAGTTGGAATTTGAACACAGGCAGCCTATGTAGCACCTGTGTTCTTAATTAATATACTGCTACTTATGAAAAGAAATTGCATGGTTTTATCTGCTTTGTGTTTTGAAAGAAAATGATGTCATTGATTTCCTTTTCAGTGGAATAAGCAGATTGAAATGTGATGCTAAGCCTAATGAGAAGTTACCCCCCCCAACAAATGATCTTTTTCTCTTATTTAGTTTCAAAATATTTAGAAATGAATTCAGAATACAGATTTACATGCAAGTTTGAACTTGGTTGCTGAAAAAGTACTTAGGAAAAATTCTGTCCATTTATACCAAGATAATTTAACGTGATTATCTTTGAGTGGTGTTCCTGTTGGCTTCCTTGTTTTCTATTTTTCTATAATGAGTGTGTATTTTGAAATGTTGACGGAATGACACCTCTGTGCTGGTTTTGAGGTCAGGTTGGTCAACTAATTACCAAGTGACTTGGGTGATTAAAATTATTTTAGGTTAAAATTTGTAATTTAAAATTTTTCTAAGTTATACATACCATTATTTAAAGAAAAATCATTCTACAAAGTGTGTAATACAAAAGCAGCCACCCCCTGCTATTTCCTACTTTCCACTAAAAACTATGTTATATCTCTTAAACTGGTCCATTCTGTTCGTTCCCTTTATTTTTCAAAACATCACAATTGTCCTTCTATTTCATGTTTAATTTTTAAGTCTCATTTTTTAAGCATAAAGGTGTAGTGCTCTTACCAGCTTTTCCTCACTCTGATCCTGCACATACATATGCACCCTCCCTCCTCTTCCCTATATTCATTAATCGACTCAGCACGTACTGACCAAGTGTCTGGATGTGCCAGACACAGCTCTGATTGCCAAGAAAAAAAGCAATGAACAAAACAGTCTCTTCCCTTGTAGAGCTTTGCAGAGTTTAATTTTGCGATAAGTCACTGTCCACTGTTCCATTTCGTTATCACCAAGTAAATATTATTCATTAGTGATTACAGTTCCTTTCCTTTGCAGTCTTTTGTTTTCCTTGAAGTCAATGATTTTCTTCTCTTTACATTTTCTAGGTTTTCAGTGTACTGTAATTCCTCACCAAACACTCTGTCAAAGTGTTACTCTCCTCCCTATCCCTTCACATAAGTGTTTCTCTGAAGTCTTCCTCCTACAGCCCAGTGACCTCCTGTTGCAGGCTGGACTGGTAGCTATCTTGTCCTGCAATCCCTGTTCCCCCTGGGACAGCTATCTTATTAATTCCTCTGGCTGATTCCTGCCTAGGAATACTGATTACTAATCTCTTCCTTATCAATCACACCCTTGTTTTTCTGAAGTGTGTTTTTTAGTGAGTTTCTCAGAGTATGGGGAGTAGATATTTTGAGACCTTATAGGTCTGAGAATTTCTTTGTTCTACCTTCACACCTAATTAAGAGTTTAGGGATATAGAATTTAGGTTGGACTTTTTTCTTAGAGTTTTAGAAGTATTAGTACACTATCCAGCTTTCTCTGATGTTGGGAAGTCTTGTGGTTTAGATTATCATCCTTATAAACGACAGATATTTTCCCAGCAGTTTCAGAATTTTCTTTGTCCCTACAGTTTTCTCTATATCACACTTCTGTTTATAGGTTGAACTTTCTGAATTGATCTCTAATTTTTAAAAAGCATCTAAAAATATGTATTTATGAGAGACAGATTGATAGATCTCATCTGCTGGTTCACTCTTCAAATTTCCACAGTGGCCAGGGCTGAGCCCAGGGCTGGAGGCAGGAGCTAGGAGCCAGGAGCCAGGAAGTCAATCCAGGTCTCCCACATGGGCAATAGGAATTTATCTATTCCAGTCACCACCTGATTCCTCCTAGAGTCTGAATTGGCAGGAAGCTGAAATTGAGAGCTGGAGATAGAAATTGAACCCAGGCACTCTGATATGGGATGAAGTCATTTTTTTTTTTAAATTTATTTTATTTATTTGAAAGACAGTTACAGAGAGAGGTAGAGACAGAGAGAGAGGTCTTCCATCTACTGGTTCTCTCCCCAAATGGCCGCAATGGCTGGAGCTGTGCCGATCCAAAGCCAGGAGTCAGGAGCTTCTTCCAGGTCTCATACATTTCATTTTGTATGATTTGTTTCATTTTGTATGATTCATTTTGTATGAAGGACTTGGGCCATCTTCTGCTTTCCCAGGCCATAGCAGAGAGCTGGATTGGAAGAGGAGCAGCCAGGACTAGAACCGGCCCATATGGGATGCTAGTGCTTCAGGCCAGGGCTTTAACCCACTGCACCACAGCACCGACCCCATGGGATGCAGTCATCTTAATTGGCATTGGAGGCCGGCGCCGTGGCTCACTAGGCTAATCCTCTGCCTTGCGGCGTCAGCACACTGGGTTCTAGTCCCGGTCGGGGCGCCGGATTCTGTCCCGGTTGCCCCTCTTCTAGGCCAGCTCTCTGCTGTGGCCCGGGAGTGCAATGGAGGATGGCCCAGGTGCTTGGGCCCTGCACCCCATGGGAGACCAGGAGAAGCATCTGGCTCCTGCCTTCAGATCAGCGTGGTGCGCCAGCCGTGGCGGCCATTGGAGGGTGAACCAACACCAAAAGGAAGACCTTTCTCTCTGTCTCTCTCTCTCACTGTCCACTCTGCCTGTCAAAAAAAAAAATTGGCATTGGAACCATTAGCCCAAATGCCTACCTCCTAATCTTCTAATTTTTAAAAATATTTGTGTGCTCTTTTCCAGATCATTATCTTTTCACCAATAGTGTAAAGATTCAGAGTGTAGAATTCTCAGTTGAGCATTTGTCTTCCAGTATTTTAAAAGATATTGTTCCATTATTTTCTTACTTGCATTTTCTATGAAAATCTGCTGTCATTCTTTTCAGTTTCCTTGTGGAGAGGAGTTTTCAAAAAGCTTGTGGTAAATATGCTTATCTGTTTAATTCTATTTTTCTACTAAGTCTTGGAAGCCTCTTCATGTATAGTGTGTCTTTTCCTTCCCACTGACTGCTTTTAAAAATGTATTCTTTTTGAGTGTTTGGTTAGGATATATATTGGTATAGTGTTTGTATATGTATGTGTGCTTTTGAGATTTTTGAATCTGAGTATGTAGTTTTCATCAAATTTGAATTTTTGTTATTTCTTCATACTTTTTTTTATCTCTCCAGTTTATTTTCCTTTATTTTGGAGACTGCAATTCATATGTATTAGACCACTTGAAGTTATCCTGCAGTTCACCAATGTATGCCGAGTTCTGTTTCTGTGTTTCATTTTGTATGCTTTCTATTCTGTCTGCAAGTTCACTAATCTTTTCTTCTGCTATGTCTGGTCTGCTGTAAATTCCATCTAAACTGTATTTCATCTCATATATTATAGATTTGTTTTTTAGCCCTGGAAGTTCAATTTGAATTCCAAAAATATATTCCATATCTTTAATGAAAATTTTGGCCATATTGAATATAGTTATAAAGTTTCTATGACCTTCGCTGCTGATTCCAGTATGTGAGCCTTCCAGTCACAATCAATGCATTGATTTTTCTTCTGATTGTAGATCATATTTTCTTGTTTGTTTATAATAATAATTTTTAATTGGACACCAGATATTGTAAATTTTACCTCACGGGGTGTCATATATTGTGTGTTGCTATAAATATCATCCAGGTTTCTTCAGAATGCAGCCAGGTTACTTGGAAACAGTATTGCCCTTCTGGTTCTTGCTTTCCAGGTTTATTAGGTGGGACTAGAGCAGTGCTCAGCTGGGGGCAGTTATTCTCTACTACCGGGCTAAGACCCCTCTTGTGTCCTCCACCCAATGCCCCATGGATTAAGGTGAGTTGTTCACCCTCACTGGTAGAAACACACATTATTCCTGGCCCTGAGCCAGGACAGTTGTCTCTTATTTTTTTAGGTGGTTCTTTCTCCAGCTTTGGGTTGTTTTATCACACACTCTGCCAAATGCTATTCACATGATTATAGGTCTTTGCCATCAAAAGATCTCATTTCATACTCCTTATGTGATTTTTACATGACATGCACTTTTCCTCTAGCACCTGATGATTAATTTTTCATATTTTGAGTTGATAACTTAAGGCAATGATTCTCAAAATATGAGCCTAGATCAACATTACCAGTATCGCCTGGGAACTTAGTATCAAGGCACATTATGAAGTCACACCTCTGACCTGGGAAGGGGAGGTGTTACGGGGAGCTGGCCATGTGTATTTTTTAACAAGCCCCCAGGAAATCTGATCAGTGCTAAAGTTTGAGAACCAATGCTTAGAATCCACAGTTTGAATCCTCAGGGGAAGGGGTCTTAGGAAACCTTGTAAGTGTCCTTGAAGTCTCATAATAAGGCAGCTGCCAATCTCACTTCATACAGTTTTGCCTCATCAGACAGGTAATTGGAGCAAACGAGGGTTACAGGACTGAAAAGAATATAGGAAATAGAAAACATTGTCTTTATTCTTGGAAAGTTTTTTGGTTGGGAAATTCTTTCTAGCAGAAGGAGTTTGGGAGATGAGAAAAAGTCGGGGACTGACAGTAACTAATCCTATTGTACATGTAAGGCTTTCCAGGCAAACAAACTAAGGGACTATGCTCAGGGACTGTGTCTCCCCTCCCCCCGATTTGGGGGTTTCTTGGTCCCTGATGCCATGTCTGGTAAACAGGCTATTGGCTGCAGAGGGGAAGCTGGCAGTATCAGAAAGGGGAGAGTTCATGCCATAGAGCAATGTGCCTTAGACAGGAGTTGCAACAAAGTTGGGCAAAAGCATTTATCTTGAGAAAAATAGCCTTTCATCAGTAGTGGGCCAGGTTCCCAGAAGGAGGATGGATCCAAAAGCACTCTGGCCTTTCTCTCTGTCTCCTTTGGCCACAGGATGGCCCTGCCTCTCCTCTCTGTCATTCAAGGATGGGGCAAGAAAGAGAAGAGATGGAAGTGTTCTCTGTTTCTATAAGTGGCTTATTTATTTATTTCTTGTCATAGGATAAAATTATTCATATTTAAAATAATTAGCCTCTACTTGCACAGACCCCAATTAGGGTAGAAAAGATTGGAAGCCTTTAAGGAACAGTGTGAGAAGAGCAAAAATATAAACAAATCTGACTATATGTGTATGCAAGTGCACACGCACACATATATGGCTGACTTTGTAAGTGGCTGGGCAATGCACAATTGATACAATTGTCCCCAAATTGTTAATTTTTTCATAGGTATTCAGTATTTTTTGCCCATAAAGATGTTCAGTTTCCTCACTGGGGCCCTTTCTCACCTCTAGGCTCATCAGCCTTGCCATCGTCACGCTCTGACATCAATCCACTTTCAAGTCTCTGCATTTGTACATGTGTTCTCCACCCCACCCCCAACTCCCCAATAGCCATGTATTGAATCTAGAGCTAAGAATCAGGCTTTGTGGTAGGTACTAGGAAACACCAAACAAGTGGTGCTTTCCCTGCTTTCAAAAAAGAAAGTCATATAAAAATGCAGAGGGTGTTCTCAGCCTCTTTGGAGCCATGGGCCATGTTTGAAACCCATATGTATAGGCTCATTTGTCTGGTATAGTTACTGAGATCTACACACATTCCGTGAAAACAAGCCTGCCTTGGTCTCCCATCCCCATGTTCCCTCAATTTATCAGCACCATTATCAAGTTTCTACCTTAGGGTCCTGTCTTAAAAATTATTATAATAGCTATTTTTTTTTTTTTTTTTTTTTAATTTTTGACAGGCAGAGTGGACAGTGAGAGAGAGAGACAGAGAGAGAAAGGTCTTCCTTTGCCGTTGGTTCACCCTCCAATGGCCGCCGCTGCAGCCGGCGCACCGTGCTGATCCGATGGCAGGAGCCAGGATCCAGGTGCTTTTCCTGGTCTCCCATGGGGTGCAGGGCCCAAGCACCTGGGCCATCCTCCACTGCACTCCCTGGCCATAGCAGAGAGCTGGCCTGGAAGAGGGGCAACCGGGACAGAATCCGGCGCCCCAACCGGGACTAGAACCCGGTGTGCCGGCGCCGCAAGGTGGAGGATTAGCCTATTGAGCCACGGCGCCGGCCCTATAATAGCTATTAAATCACAGTAATAACTAGCCTTTTAAAGACATTTGATATGTGCCTACACTCTGGTGTCTTGACATTAAGTTAAACTTCAGTTCACTTGGTTCTCACAACAACATCATACAATGCTATTGTTATCTCCATTTGCAGAGGAGAAAATTAAGGTATGTATAGTTTAGGGGTCTTCATTTCTGCCTTGCAGTGACAGACTATCTAGGTTTTGTAGTTCTATCCTGAGTGCAGATTCCCATGGCTTACTCTTGCCACTGGAAGCACTTTGTTAGAAGAACTGCTGCCCAGAGGAAAGCTGGCTGTGGATGAGAAGCTGTTCCTTCCCTAGGTGTGGGTGTGTATCATATTCTGTGTGGACTGATTGTTTCCTTGGCTGTCTCTAAAATGTGAGCTATCTACAGGGATCATTTGGCAAATGATCCTAATAGATATCCATTTTTTCCCCGCTTCATACTAGCTGCGTAAATGCTACTGACCCTTCCTGTCATACCTGCCTTCCTTAGCACCTTGGCCTGGGGCAGGGCTTTTGTATTAAATGGATCAGGCAAGGCTGAGCTTTAGATAGGAGGGAGTGGTGAGGACTGGGACAAAAGGAGAGTACATAACTAATCAATGGAGGTCACTGCTATTCACTTCTCTGCTGCTATACAAGAATGTGACTCTGTTGCCAAATTTTCTAGCTTTTCAAACTAAA